TGGTGGTGATGATGATGAGAATGATGATGATGTTAATGATGATGATGATGATGATGATGATGATGATGATGATGATGATGATGATGATGATGATGGTGATGATGATGGTGATGATGATGCTGTGGGCTGAGGGTGATGATGTCAAGCACGCTGTTGCTGATGATGCTGCTGCTGATGATGATGATGATGACGACCAGTACGACGATGATGCGTTGATTATTCGTTCGCGTATGTTGATGATTCTGGTGAGTACGACAATGACGATGCGTACGATCATGGTGACGATGGTAATTGTGATGGTGATGAGGATGCTGCTGATCATGATGGTGAGGATGATGATGATGGTGATGACTGTGGTAGTGAAGATGACTATGATGATGATGATGATGATGATGATGATGATGATGATGATGATGATGCTGCTTATGACAATGCTAATGATGAATGATGAGGTTGATGGTGGTGATGCTGATGATGCTGCTGCGGATGCCGATGTTGCTGATGGTGATGATGATGCTGATGCTGATGATGACGATGCTGATGATGATGCTGCGGCTGATGAGGATAACTGCAGCGAACATGATGATGATGGTGATGATGATGCCTAAGCCCTAGGCTGGTGACGATGGTGCAGCTGCGGGTCATGACATGATCACGACATTGGCGATGCTGATGGTGATCGCGATGATGATGATGATGATGATGCTGATGATGATGATGATGATGATGATGATGATGATGATGATGCTGATGATGATGATGATGATTATGATGATGATGTTGATGCTGATGTTAGTTATGCTGATGATGATGATGATGATGATGATGATGATGATGATGATGCTGGTTATGATCATTATGCTGCTGATGACGATGACGACGAGGTCAATAACGGCGACGATGGTGCCGCTGATGCTGATGATAAAGCCGTTTACGATTATGATGATGCAGATGATGACGATGCTGATGGTGATGGCGCTGATGCTGCTGATGCTGATGATGTCGCGGCTGATGAAGGTAAGGCTGTTGGTGTTGATTATGGTGGTGATGCTTTTCATGATTGTGATGATGATGAAGGTGATGATGGTGAGGATAGTGCGGATGATGTTGATGATGATGAGAATGATGATCATGATCTTGATGATGATGATGATGATGATGATGATGATGATGATGATGATGATGATGATGATGATGGTGATGGTGATGGTGATGGTGATGGTGATGGTGATGCTGATGATGCCGATCCTGACCATGATGCTGAGGCTGATCATGCTGATGTTTCTGGCGGCGACGAGGAGGTCCAGCAGGAGCAGGGGGTTGATGAGGAGGAGACGGAGGAGGAGGAGGAGAAGGAGGAGGAGTGGTTGGATGAGTAGGAGTTGGGTAAGGAGGAGGAGGAAACATAAGGGAAACGAGAAGATGGAGGAGTCAGGAAACCGGAGGGAGGAGAGAGGCGGGTAAGGAGGAGCAGGAGGAGGAGGACGAGGAGGAGGAGGAGGAGGAGGAGGGGAAGGAGGAGGAGGAGGTGAAGGAGGAAGAGGAGGAGGAGGAGAAAGATTATGAGGAGGAGGCGGAATATGAGGAGGAGGAGGAGGAGGAGGAGAGGAGCAACAGGGGGAGGAGAATGAGGAAGGAGGAGGAGGCGGAGGAGGAGGAGGCGGATGAGGAGGAGGAGGAGGGAGACGGTGGCGGATGAGGGGGGGGGGGGGGGGGGAAGAGGAGGAGGAGCGGAGGAGGAGGAGGAGAAGGAGAGGGAAGGAGGAGGAGGAGGGGGAGGGAGGGACAAGAGGTGGAGTAGGAGCAGGAAGACGAGGAGGAGACGGAGGAGGAGACGGAAGAGGAGGAGGATGGTGATGAGGAGGAGGATGAGGAAGAGGAGCAGGAGGAGGAGCAGAAGGAGGAGGAGGAGCAGGAGGAGGAGAGGGAGGCGGAGAAGTAGCAGTAGTAGTAGTAGCAGCAGCAGCAGCAGTAGTCGTAGTAGTAGTAGTAGTAGCAGTAGTAGTAGTAGTAATAGTAGTAGTAGTAGTAGTAGTAGTAGTAGTAGTAGTAGTAGTAGTAGTTCGTAGTAGTAGTAGTAGTAGTAGTAGTAGTAGTAGTAGTAGTAGTAGTAGTAGTAGTCGTCGTCGAAACCAATTGCCCTAGCCAGCTCAACCTGCCAACCCTTCCAACCAGCCAGCCAGCCCACCCAGCCACCCCGCCACCTAGCCAACCCGTCAGCCAACCAGCCCAGCCGCCCACCCCGTCATCCCGCCAACCAGCCGATCCCCTCCGCCTGCTCTCCGTGCCCAACCAGCCACCCTGCCAACCCGCTCTCCCCCTCCGCCTGCCGTCCGTCACCGCCGAGAGGGGGGGGGAAGCGTTTCTTACCAGCGAAAACCAGGAAACTGGCCCTCCCGGGGACTGGCGGGACAGCGGGGAGGGGGCAAATCGCACCGTACTATGCAGGACCGGGAATGGCGGGGGGGGGCGCCCGGCACGGTTTTGGGCCTCAAGTGTGTAACTGTCGTCATTTTTCAACGTCCACCGCGCCCTCTTTCTCAATGGGAAGGCTCCCATCCTTGAAACTGTCGCCAATTTTGAGGCCCCGCGCGTGGCTTCTTAGAGAGCCGCCAACAGGCCCCAGGAGGTCTCAGGAGGCATCAGGAAGCTCCAGGAGGCTTCAGGACGTCCCCGGAGGCCGTGGGAATCCCAAGGAGGCTCCAGGACGCTCCACGAGGTCCCAGGATGCCTCACGAGGTCCCGCAAGGCCCCGGGAGGTCCCATCACGCTCCGGGCGTATCCTGAACGACCCAAAAGTTCCAGAACGTTGCGGACGCCCCTGGAGGGCTGAGGATACCCTGGGAGAGCCCAGGAGGTTTCAAGAGGCCGCAGGAAGTCCCCAGAGGTCGCTATCCCAGGAGGCCCCCGGGATTACCAGGAGGCTCCATGAGGTCCCATGGTCCATCGCGCCCGAGGTAGGGAGGGGGAGGCGGAGGAGGAGGAGGACGTGGAGGAGGAGGAGGAGGAGGACAAGTAAAAGGAGGAGGAGGACGAGGGGAAGGATGAGGAGGAGGACGAACATGATGAGGAAAGGATGAGCCGGGTGACAGCGTGACGCCCCAGCAAATACACTTGGTCCAATTGGCTTCTACCCCCGTGAGGGGCGTTACATGGTAGTAGTAGTAATAGTAGTAGTAGTCGCCGTCGTCGTCGTCGTCGTCGTCGTCGCAGTAGTAGTAGTAGTAGTCGTCGTCGTCGTCGTCGTCGTCGTCGTCGTCGTCGTCGTCGTGGTCGTCGTCGTCGTCGTAGTCGTAGTAGTAGTAGTAGTAGTAGTAGTAGTAGTAGTAGTAGTAGTAGTAGTAGTAGTAGTAGTCGTACTCGTACTCGTACTCGTAGCCGTAAGCGTAGTCGTAATCGTAGTAATATTCGTATTATTCGTATTATTCGTATTATTATTAGTAGTTGTAGTAGTAGTAATAGTAGTAGTAGTAGTAGTAGTAGTAGTAGTAGTAGTAGTAGTAGTAGTAGTAGGTGTAGTAGTAGTAGTAGTAGTAGTAGTAGTAGTAGCAGTAGGAGTAGTCGTTGTAGTAGTAGTAGTAGTAGTAGTAGTAGTAGTAGTAGTAGTAGTAGTAGTAGTAGAAGTAGTAGTAGTAGTAGTAGTCGTAGTAGTAGTAGTCGTAGTCGCAGCAGTACTACTAGTAGTAGTAGTAGTAGTAGTAGTAGTAGTAGTAGTAGTAGTAGTAGTAGTAGTAGTAGTAATAGTAGTACCGTGGATGTAAACATTAACGCGAAACGTATTCATAACATTGGATTTCGCCATTCAAAGGCCGCGAGTTCCAGGTAGGGCAAGATCGGCAGCTGCCCGCAAACATGTAAACAATAAACGCGAAACACGGAAGCATTTTTTTCAACCTGGGACTGTTCATGCCGAGCTTGCGTTCCATATCTTTGAATGGCGGAGTTCAATGTTATGGATGGGTTTCGCGTTAATTCTTTACATCCACGGCTGCCATTTTGTTACGGGCCCCAAGGCTAAGCTGTTACGGGCCCCAAGACTACGCTAAGCTCGCGCATTTTCCGACACACTTCGCTTCTGCCACCCTCAAATGTTTGTCACATTCACGCGTTGCTTCAGCTGGCTCCCAGGCGTCCCACAGGGTTCCACGGACCACAAACGACCCCCAGGTCCCACGGGTGTCGCAGGTCCGACAAGTCCCACTGGTCCCGCAGGTCCCACATGTGTTGCGGGTCCCACCAGTCCCACAGGTCTTGCAGGTCCCACGGGTCCCACAGGCCACAGGGGCCCCCCAGGTCCCACAGGTATTGTAAGCTCCTCGGGTGTCGTAGGTCTCACAGGTCCCACAAGTTTCGCAGGTCTCGCAGGTCCCACAGGACCGATAGGTGTCGTAGGTCTCAGGGGTCTCACCAACGCAAAGCAACGCGAAGCAAAACGCAAAATGGCTTAGAGTTGGCTCCGGGCACCCAAGATGTGGCCTGGGAGTGGTGCTTTGGGAACACGAAGAGTACAAAGTGGCTTACAGTTGGCTCCGGGCACTGACGATGTGGCCTGGGAATGGTGTTCTGGCAAGATGCATCGTGATTCCGGACAAGAGTTTCGCACCTTCAACGTTATGATTTTTTGTGTCCTAGCCTGGCTAGGACGAA